CAGGCTGGGGGTGATGAAGTGGACCCAGGTGTTCCACGGGTTCTGAGACGTTGATAATGTCTGAAGTTATTGATGTTCTGTTGTTGTTCATCCTGTGGTTTGAGTTTTAATTTATTCAAATTGACTGAGAGAGGGGTCGCTAAAGAGGTGCTTGACGAGCACATGTGGAAACAAAGAATATCAGTCTAAAAAAAAAAAAAAATTCTCCCTGCATTTACCTGATGCTCACGACACGCTTATTGTTCCGGAATTGAACCGTTTTTTAGCTGTGATTTGTAATTGAACTCTTGGCTGGAGATCACAGCTGCCTCCAGTTGTTGCTAAGGTGTGATGTTAGCTCTGTTAGCTCTGTTAGCTCTGTTAGCTCTGTTAGCTCTGTTAGCTCCAGGTATGACACAAGCCTTTTAGACCTGGGACGGCTGTGTACTACTGTGATAATATTCACAGCATCCACAGGTCAAATTCTTTCTCTACATTTCATGGAGAATTCTTTGTGCATTGGTGGAAATGAGTGGAGAAAAAAAAAAAAAAAAAAAAAGGATAAAAACTTCCTGGTCTCCACGGCTGTAGTTGTGGCCGGCGTGTGTTCTATTTCAGGTCCGCTCACCTTCACTGAATGGATGACGGTCTGTGCTCACAGCCTCTCCACTCCAGTGATCCAGCAGTAAGGGAATATGGGCTCCTGCTGTGCCCGTGTGTCCGAGGGGCTTTGTGTGTTTGTGAGTCTACCAGCTCTGAACGGCTAATTAATAATTACTGCTTCTAAGGACCCCCCCAGGGCCCGTGTCATGATTTATGGCAGAGGGTGGAAATCAAGTCGGTCCGTGGACTCGACCGCCGCTGCTGTGCTGTGCTGTGCTGTGCGTTGATGTTGTGGATGTGCTTCATGTTCATATTATGATGATTATTATTTTGGTAATTTTTTTTGCACTGTGCCTGTCTGGAGTGTTTCTACTCTGTCTACTTCTGTCGCCAGATTTAATTCTCCAAACTGCCTTTGTCCAAGACATCTGGTTTAAAAATATATAATTTGAAAATATTATATAAATATAAGAATTATTATTCCCATTCAGTTTATACAGTAAACTGAACCAAACATTACCTAGAAATAAGTAGTTTACACAGGCATATATATATATATATAAAATAAATGTTTATAAAAATGACTGTGATTTATGAGAAAATAATGAATTTAAATGGCATCGACTACAGTTTAGTAATAGTTTAGGTCATGTTTAGTTCAGATTACCAGATTACCTTTTTTTATTGATTATACACTGACTGACACGATGTCACTGGTTTTAGTCTGAACTACTAGTTGACTGACACAATTTCACTGGTTTTAGTCTGAACTACTAGTTCAGTCAAGGTCTGTAATACTGAGGCGCTGTGATAACTAGGTCTGAGGTGATATTTGTTTTTCCATCATGTCCTAAAAAATATATATATATAAAAAATCAAATAAAAGTGGCATTTACTCCCACAGGCGCCTCCTCTCCACCTCACACACACACACGCTGGATGTAAATTATTTCCACTCCTGACAAATATCACGACTTGGTTTGTGAAATAAGTGCTTGTTCTGCTGCGACTTCCCGCACTCGTCTAAATGTCACTCGGCAACAAGTTTGATGAAATGTGTCGGCGCACTCGACGCTGCAGCGTGTGTTCAGATATATATATTTTTACCGCCGCTCTTTGATGGAAGCTCAGGCGAGGTCGGCCAATCGGCTCTCTGAGTGCGTGTGCAATTTGATTTTTAGCTGTCGACGGAGCGAGGGGTTGAGGGTGGAAGGACTCAGAAAGTGTTCGCTGGCTCACAGACTACTCTGATACTCCGACTCGCTCCAGCCCATCTGGCACTGGTGGAGGAAGAGCTCTCTTCCTTTTTAACCCCCATTACTCACAAGGTGCTGATTCCATATGATGGGTGTCAGAGCCCTGCAGTGAGCACGGGCTCCACTCCCCGCCAGCCACTTATCTTCCATCCGTCTCTTCCTTGTGATTACAGCTGCTTTTTTTTCTTTTTTTTTTCCCTCTCTAAGAGCCCAGGGGAGTCAGATTGTTAGGAGCCCCCGTCTCTTGTAGCTGAGTAGAATGGATGGGTGGAGAGGCCATCCGACGTGAGGAGCGTGACGTACAGTACGGCTGTGGGGAACGTTCCACGGTGGAGATAAGGCAGCAGGCTAGCTGCGCCGCTCTTCATCGTTACAAAGCTACGGCACGTGACCTCGTAACGTTCTCACTTTAGACGAGGTTTACACTTAAATAACGGACAAAGGCGTGCGTCGTTCTTACACGGCCGACACATGTACAGGTTTAAAATGAGGTGAATGTGACAACACTCCACTCCACCCCCACGCCGCCGACCCCCCCGACCTCCTTCGTCAACATCATTGTGCAACGAACGGCGTCTGCTGGTGTGCGTGACGCTGCTGCAGCAGGAAGTCATTTGGTGGTCGCTGGATGTAAATATAACGCGTCTGTGATGATCCTCCTCATTACAGCGACGGAGGAACAGCTGCAGGAGAACACAGGGCAACTAAAGAAGGAGGCACTCTATTGTGACTGAAATGATAAAATGCATAATTAGGCAGTCAATGTTGTGTTCCATCTCTCTCGCTCTCTCTCTCTCTCCCCCTTCCTCCCACCTTCCCTCCCTTCTCCTCGCTCTGTCTCGGCCTGATAGGTGCAACTCCTGCGTTTCCTCTCCATTTTCAGAAATGATGTTGTTCATTAATGCAACGCAATTTCAGAGCGGGCCGTCTCTCATCCTCGCTGCTGCATTTTGTCTCTGGTAATTTACCTTTATTGGCTGGCTTAGCAATTTCATCTGAACACGGGTTCATTTAATAATGTATGCGTCTGTGTTGTTGTGCACCGTTCCAAACCCCACCTGTAATTGCCGCGCAGCTGCGTCAACTTGGCTGGAAACGCAGCAGCAGCAGCAGCAGCAGCTGAGTGTGTGTGTGTGGACTCAGTGGAGACGACGAGGACGAGGACGGAACGCAGGAGCAGAGACGGTTCCACGTGTTCCTTTTTTGTTTCAAATTAACTTTGTTTCCTTTTTTAAAAAATTAAATTTAACAGGAAATAATCAGAAAAATATCAGGATTGTTTTTTTTGTTTTTTTTCCCCTGTTGTTCCTAACTCAGCCAGTAGGCTCCACGTCCTCATTTGTGCTGTGTTTATTTGTGCATGTGTGTGCGTCGTCCTGAAACCCACCTGCAGACGTCCTCCACTCTCATCTAATTGTTCTGCGAAAGCCCCGCGAGGTGGATTGTGGTCACAGTCGTCTTTGTCCTTGGGTTGAAGCACCACTGGCTCACCTTGACAGGAATAAAAAAGGAAGAAAGAAAAAAAACAGTCAAGTCGTCTGTTAACTGCACACACACAAAAAAAGCCACCGTTGATGTCGGTGTGTCCAACAGAGGGAGGACAGACAGAGATCTCCACACCAGAAAATAGAATAAAATCAGACATGTGCCCCCGGAGCAACCGCTGGGTCAATTTTTATAAGAGCCAGGTAGGGGGCATCGCACGGCCGAAATAACATTAGTGCAGCGGTGACAGGCGTGTGAAGTCATGATGAATCTGAGGTAAAAATAAAGGCAAATGAATACAAATAGTGTCTCCTTCACCTGGAGGAGGGAATAAATCATATGTGGACTAATGTGGTGCGTTTTGACGCCCCCCCAACCCCCCGCCCCCCATTCCACTTTCTGTCGCTCCGAGAGAAACACGCCGCTCACGTTAAGGCCGCTGAGCTACCAGTGACACGGAAGAAGAGTTTTGAAATATTGTCTACTGGTATCTACTATGGGGTGTAATCCGCCCCGTAATCCTTACAGTTTCCAGTGTCCTTCTCTCTGCACTCAGCTTAGCCTGTAAACTGTCTTGTCCATCCTGCAATTAGCTGGGATTAGAACTCTCCCGACACCAACGTGGAGACGAGCCAAACGGGTGTGAAACGGCCGATCCACAGCTGTGGCACTGTTTGAATACGGAGTGGACAATTTGTCCACGGACTCTGTCTCTCAGCTGTCTCACTGCAGCCGCTGTGTGTTTGAGAAATGAGTGGATGCTAACGGTCGGTCCATGGTCCTAAATCCAATCGCAACACAGGTTGTTTTTGTCACAGTGAAACAAACAAAAAAAAACATCCTGGTTCAACAAGATTTCTATAAATAGTACAAACTAAATCTAGTACGAGTGACAAAATGGAAGCTAACTGTAAAGCTAATGCTAGGCTAGGTTATTTGCTGTGTATTAGCCTCAGTTTCTGGCAGCAAATGACTGAGAGAATTTGGACTAAAGTCATTAAATCAACATTGAACTTTATATTTAACATATAAAATTGTTGTTTAACTGTCAAAGTCAACTGTGTTCACTATGATTTAGAGTTTAATGTTGGAAGAATCTGAACGATTTGAATCATATCCTCCAGTCTAGGGTGACCAAACGTACAGCAAAGTTTGTTGGGTTTTTTTTTTTTTTCAAAGTTTTTTTTTAAACTCTGGAGAGAAAAAACAAAATCTACAGCCGCAACCTTTTCCACTTCCCTTCTGAAAAATGGATAAACTGTGGAGTAATGGGAGCGGACTAGACTGATTCCGGGGGTGCAGAGGCCACGTCCCGACTGACGGATTGAAGAGGAGACGGAAAAACCCAGCGTCAACTTATTGTGTGTTGCGTGTGTGTGTGTGTGCGTGCGCCCTCGGGCGAGCAAAGCGCTCTCCCTCAAATCTCCGAGTGTGAACTCAGGGCCACGGGGTCAGAGCCTGAGGGACAACACTGGACTGTGGAGCCAGCTGTGATTTCACTGAGTGTTTAAATGAGTTTCTCACCAAACTGAGGTTTGATTGAAACTGTCGTGACCAAAGATGGTAAAGATAATAATTAATCGACTATTGATCTGTCGATCATCATGGGTCCAGTTTGGTTTAGATTTATAATTACATGGAAGATGGTGATGGTTGAATATTTATATATTTGACTGGAGCTAATACATATAACATGGAAATGTTGTGGTAGAAACTGAGTGGTCACAGCCTGGACACACAGTGGGACAGTGGTTCATGACCCCATTATGGCTCTTGACCTCATCACAAATATTTCTGGCGACCCAAGGTTGTTTTTTTTTCTTTCTATAATTACTTTTTGATCACGTGTTTTTAGTAGAGTAGTCCGATCAGTACACAACAGTGACCTTTAGTAACTAATATTTAGTTGAAATTTTTTTTATCAGTCTTGTTTTTTCAGGAGACACCATTTGAAATCCAGATGGCCCCAGATGAGGTTGCAACCCAAAGGTTGAAAACCCAAATGGTTGTTTTAATACCTGGACGTTGAGTCTTCTTACCTTTTTTTTTTCCTGTTTCTCTCTTGTCATTTTTTTCTTTCTTTCTTTTTTCTTCTTCTCTGTGGAACAGCGGCCTCTGAAAAACAAGATGGATAAATATTTAGATAAACAACAAGATTAAAAGAAGAAGTAGTAGACAAAGAAATGTAAATGTAACTCCCCCCTCTCCCCTCTCCTCCCCCATCATTTGCGCCCCTCGTCTGATGAACACCACCAGGGTTTTACTACAGTCAGTGATGAGGTGCCCCCTCGGTGGCTCCTCGGTTTATGAATTAATTTTGTTGTTCAGTAGAGGACGGATCAATAACTGCTCTGATTCATTCAAAACAACCACAGGAAAAAAAACTATCAAACAAACAAACAAACAAACAAACAAACAAACAAAACCCATTTCATTTACTGATGTGAAGAAGTCGTCTCCAGACGCTCAGGAGAGAAGAGGAGCTGAGCTCTAACGTGACAGTGATAACATACATGTTAGTCCGCATCTTGTTTACCGTGATGGGCTAATTAGCGTAGCGTCGGTACCACCCCCTCATTATGGGCTGTGATTACATACATTAATATTAACCAGCTAATTCACATGACAACAATTATTTCTGCTGTTTCAGCTGTGTCTCTGAGGAGAGGAGGAGGAGGAGAGTTGGACTCCTCAAAATATTTATCTTTTTTTATATATGAACCATGTTGAAGAATTAGCAGTTCGTTAAAAAAAAAAACAAGTGAATTAATCGTTAAAAAAACTACAATTGTGAAAAGCTTTGAAAGCAAATTCACTGTCAAAGTCTAATTATTATTATTATGGAAAAATACACTTTCTTTGTAGAGATCATTTAATTCATTTGATGTTTTTATATTTTCCAATATTTACTAAGTTATGATTGGCTATCACACAATGCAATTTATTGCACAATATTGTAAAAAATAATCACAGCTAAATATATATATATATATATATATATATATATACATTTTATCTGTGCATCAGTGACGAGACAAACTCATTAAAGATCATTCATCATTAAGACATTGTTATTAAAGAGATAACAACAAAGGCAGCAGCGTCCTCACAGGCTTCACACACACACACACACACACACGTGTGTTCCTGTTCATGTGCAGTCGTCGTAGCTCATAAACTCCCACGTGTTAACAACAAGTTAACAAGTCATCCGTATCAGTTAATAAGTTATAAACTGGTTGATGACAGAGGAGAGGACGACAGTACAGACTACAGTGTGGTCCTGACTGTGTGCCCTCAGTGTGTGTGTGTGTGTATCTGCATAACAAGTGTGTTTCCTGTGGGAAAAGAAATCATCTCCCGAGACAGGAAAAAGTCAATATGGAAAGTTACACAGTCCACAGGGAGCAGGCCACTAGGGGGCTGGACGTACGACGACGGATGGAGACAGAAAGGAGACATCCCACTGTGTGTGTGTGTGTGTGTGTGTGTTAGCAGATGCAGAGAGATGTAGACAAAGAGTGCTGTTGGTTTGCATGAAAGCCAGATCCTCTACACACACACACTCACACACTCGCCAGAGAAGAGGTGATGAATACTTCCATGGTGCTGAGTTGTCACGTACTTAATCAAGTAGTTGAAGTTGTCTGTTCACCAGAAGACTTGGTTACCGTTAGGGAGCTGACGTAACGGAAGCTAACCGTTACCTCATACCTGTGTGTGTGTGTGTTAAAACAATTGTACTTTGGATAGAAAGGATAAACTAAATTAAAATATATGCAAATATATGTGTTTTCTTAAATATAAAAAATATATATATTTTAAAATATATTTAAATATATATGGCATATATATTTACATAAATATATTTAAAAATATTTGGCATATATATTTAAAAATATATATTTAAATATATATGACATATATATTTAAATAAATATATTTACATATATAAAATATATGTAAATATATATGTACCTACGTATAGTTTTTGTCGTAGTGAGTCAGTTTAACTTCCAAACTGTGGCACAAATAAAGAAAAGAATCAAATTGGAATTACTTGGTCTCCTACTCTACTCACTCCACGCCCCCACAACGGGGCCCACCCCCCTCTTTGGGAACAACTAGACCAGGTACTACCGAAAACATGTTCTCTTGCAAATATATCATCCTAATACGAGGTTGTTGGTCTAACGCCTGTGTCCACCTCAGCTCACGTCAAGATGTCGTTGAGCTTCGTTTTTTTTTTTAAAGTTCCAGCCGAGCAGGACTCCACTGGCACAGAACACCTGGTAGAACCGACACTTGGTTCCTCACACTGATGCTGTGCCATTGTTAAGCAGCTCTCTGGCTCAGAACTGAGCCACAGTGATGCCTCCCAGCCCTGTTTCTGACTCACCGGCTGTTCTCTGTGGCGGGGCTTTAGCACCGTTCCTCCAGCAGATTCGCAGCCGACTAAAAAAAAAAGAAATGGCCATTTGTTATCGTTTGCGTTATTGTATCCTTCACGTCAGTTAACCACGTTGGTGACATTTTCTTTTCATCGCTATTAACCGCTTTAGTGGCTGCACTTTTTATGTCATCAATTTAAATATTCCACTCAAACACTTCAAGGGCATCGGTACTACAGCTTTGGCTCGGTGCCTGTTAATGGATGTGACGTGTTTGAAGAAAAAAAAAAAACTCAAAGCACAGTTTCTTCAAAGAGCAACAAAATAATGGTGACAAACGCTGCCTACACATGGGCAGATGGAGGAAATGGAACTGTGACTGACATCAGTATTAAAAAATAAAACATACTTTTTCTACTGTATTTTAAACCAAACCAGACTGTTAACTTTCCTTGTATGGAAATTTGACAAAAAAAAAAAAAAAAAGGAAACAGTAAATGGACATTTTATTCTGATTAATCCTCTCAAATTAATCATGGGGATTAATCAGTTAATTTAAACAGCTCTATATATATTCATAACCTAAATGTTAGCATTAGCTTCATCAAAACTCTGAAGATCCTTTATTGTCTCTAAAACTGTGATTATAAAATTTAGATTTTTTCATTCAGCCCATTATAGTTAATATTATTAACTCATGTTAATAATGACTGACAGAGTGGGACTTGAGTCGTTCAGGTCGATATTTACTCCTGACTCGGCATCAAAACTCGTCTTCTTCATGTTCTCTCTAACGGCCGCAAAACAAACAAAACGCTTTAGCTACACACGCTCCCCCGAAAATGACGTATACCGTAAATGTGGGGCAGAACAGTAGAGGACGGATGTTGGTGTGGTTGGATGCAATAAATATATAAATAAATATATATAAATATATATATACGAGACCCTCTCCACGGGAGCTGTGGTAGAATTTACAGGCAATAAACAACGGAGGAAAAGGAGGTAATGGGGAAAGGAGAAAGAAAAGAACCAAACAGTACCCAGTACCCACAATCCCCTATCCTGCCTGGGCGTTGGGCCGCCTTAAATTTGTCCAGGGACGAAGCGGCACGAGGTATAATCCACCTGCCAGTCCCGTTCAGCATCAGCAGCACTGTGGCAGGAACACTCTGCTCCACACTTTAACACAAAATGCCATCAGTGCGAAACAGCAGATCCATTCTTCTTTCCACTTTTCCTCCTCCTCATCCTCCTCCTCCCTTTTTTTCTGAATTACAGTGCTGCACCAGAAAGTGACGTGGGCGCTGTTGTAAAGTCACAAGAGAACGGGGCGAAAAACTCTGAGGGAGGGAGGGGGGGGGGCGACGAGGGCAAGGAAAGAAGAAAAGCAGACAAAAGGACTTTTAGAGGGAGCAGGTAGGGGAAAAGAGATGAGCAAATAAAGGAGATAAGACACGGGAGAAGAAATGAGTGAGGAAAAAGGAGACGGAGTGCATTTTCCACACTCCCTCCTCCCCAACACCACCACCACCACCCAGCTCGCTAGTGTGGAGGCCCCAGGAGAGGCTGGAGATTGATCGGTTCATTTGGATTGAAAAAGTGGATCCCTTCCACCAAAAAACTTGTTTCCTTCTAAACCAAATGACAAATGAGCTATCGATTTGTTGTTTACGATCCGGGGTGCACAGCGCCCCCGCAGCGCGCATGACGGACCTCATAATAGTCAGAGTCTCAAAGGTTTGCCCCCGCTACTAACTGACAGCTCTCTAGGAGTCAGCACTGCATTTGTGCTATGAACCAGCTCAAGTTTCCATTTTTTTTTTTTTTTTGCTTGTACCTAAATTGCCAAAGAAAAAAATTAAGCCAACACACGACTGAAGCGGCCGTCGACTTCCAGGATTAATGTCACTTTCTTGGATATTAACATTTTGTTTTTCCGACAGAAGTTACTGCCCTGTCTAAACCAAAAACGCCGAGCTAAAATCAACAACAACTTCCCTACAACATGACTTTGACCTTTGTCAGGCAAAAGGTCAAAGCAAAGATCATCATATATCCAACGCTAGCGCCGCTAACTCGGCCTGTGAGAACGCTTCTTGTATGACCTTTTCAGGCTCATATTTCTTCTGTGCAAGTTTTTAGAGGAGGCTCAGAGGAAATTGATTTTTAAACTTGATGTTAAACAGTGGGTCAGGGTGGAGGATGTTTAAAACCACTCGAAAAAAAAAAGGTAAAAGGTAAAAAAAACAGTTGATTCGGTGGTGAAATCTGTCATTCTTTTACGATGAAAACAAAGTGTAGAATTAAAAAAAATTCCACTAAACACGTCAGACTTCCTGACGCAGGACGCGGCCCAGACTTCCCGAGCCGAACATCTGACCTCACAACAAGCTGCTGGTTACTGTTCTCCTGACCTTTTCTATTGATCTCTGCTGATCCTCGCCAAATGTCAAGTTTACTTTACTCTGCAAACAGACACACACACACACACACACAGACTCAACTCTCACCAATGTGTGTGATTCTTTTCTCAAATATTATTTGCCTGTGAACACAGTGTGTCAAGTTCATCTAATTATGACGGTTACCCAAGTTTTTCCACAGAGGTAAGTCTAACGGCCCGGCCTCGTAATCATCCGTCCATTCTTCTCTTCTGATAACACTGTTAATCAGCATCACTGGGCTCCTGCAGCAGCAGATTACACACTGATACAACTGCCTCCAACACTGTTCACATTTCTACACTGGCAGTGAGAGACGCTGTGAAGAGTGAACTGTAAAAGCAGTTAGCACACGCTAATTAAAGAAAGTCTCGACGTCGGCTAAAGCTAATGGGAAGTTTGTTTACATTTTTATTATTATTTCTCATAATGAAGCCAATGGGTTTTTTTTTTGTATATTAACAAACAGAGTCAAACTACAGAACTGATCACTTAAACGTCCCGGAATCGTTTAAATGTGACACGAGGGATAAAAACTGCATTTAAAATAGAACGTTTATAAACGCAGCCTTTTCTCTAGAGAAAAATCGAGTAAAAGTAGAATCGAGATCAGAAGATGATTGGACGGTTATGATCAGAGGAATCAGAGTCCCTTCCTGGTTCATCTGGAAATGACATCAGGCATCAGCTGAGGGGTGGGGAGGTGAGGCAGGTGGGGGGTGGGGTGGATGGATTCAGAGCTCAGCCAAGCAGGACTCTAAATACATAACTAATGTTCCTTGCAGTTGAACCAGAGTCCCGGCTCATTTATTGTCTCAATAACGCTCGTCTGACGGCAACTGCATCGGTTATCAGTCACAGAACCATCTTAACTGGGTCAAGACCATTGGGGTGGAGGGGAGAGAGAGAGGGGGGGGATGGGGATGTGGGAGGGGGGGCAGAAAGCACAGCTGGGGCCCCGTTATCACTCACACTTAATGGAGAGAGGTCCTGGAATTTCAGAGTTCCAGGACAGATATAGTTGGAGCGTTTATCCTTTGAATGCACACGTGGCGGGCCAAGTGAAGGACACCTGGTCCAGGACACCTGGTCCGGGTCGGACGAGCTGCAGTCAGGAGCCTGCATCACAGCAGAGTGGCAATAAAGGTGCAATGAATGAATGGACTTTTTATGTCAGTGTTTCACAGATATAAAATATAAAAATATAATTAATGACCTTCATCAGAGCCCATCTGTCTGTGAAAGATCTAGTGTTTCTGACATTTTTATGCTGCAGCCAAACAATCCTCAAACAAAGGCAGGATTATACGTGTGTCTTTTTCAATATGTGTAAATAACTCTGTAAAACACTGCCATCTACACTCACACAGTGACACGACACCAAGTGTCTGATCTGTGCACATTCAAAGGGAGGTAATAACGCGGGCCGTGCTGAGGCTGCGATAAGACGTTACAGAAGTGACTAAATGAACCCGTTGCTTTGTGATTTATCGTCTCCAGTCGGCGCCGAACACGGAACTAATATTGGAACGGAGACACGCTGGCTTTGTTCCAAAACTAACCCTATTATCAGTTGCAAGATGAGCTTTTGTTCAACCAGTTTTTTCTTTTTAAATTTACTCTTATTGCTGCTGCTGCTGCTGCTGTTGTTGTTATTGTTTTCCTCTAAATCAGAGCTAAATATTAAAATGTGCGCGACACAAACCATTTTCCGCGCAGGCAATTATCTCCAGGTATTGTTGTGGCTGGAAACACCACACACTTCATTCCAATTTTATTTTGTTTCCTCTGACTAATTATAAATTTGTAATACAGCCCGGCGTCTGAATCGTCAATGAGTTCACAGCTTGTGGAAGAGAATTAAAATAAAAAATAAAAAATATATAAATAAATAAAACAAAAAGACCACAGTCTGTTGAAGGAGTGAAAATGACACCAGTGTCACTGCCGCTGCATGACACAGCACACAGAATAATATTTATCTAATTGTCTGCGAATTAACAGACACGTTGATGAAGCGTTCGCTGCAGGTTTAGTCTCAGGAAGTGATGGGACTGAGGGCGGGGAGGGAGGGAGGGAG